AACTAATAAAAAAAAAAGAGTTCCAGAAATCAATATGGAACAATCCTGTGGTATCCAGTTTTCATAACAGCCCTCCTGATAGAGTGTCAACAGTGAATTTGGGAAGAAAATTAAAAAGAATTAACACCAGTCACATGTACACTCTTTCAGAATACAGATGAGGAGGAAACACTTCCTGAAGCAAGTATTTCTTTGGAACCAAATCTAAAAACAATATAAAAGAAAGCCATAGATAAATACTTCTCGTAACACAGGTACAAAACTCCTTATGAAAATATTAGCAAATTGAAACTAAAAAGGATAATACATCATGACACATAAATCAAACAAGATTTACCCTTGGGAGGGAAGGTTGATTTTAAAAAAAATCAACCAACCTAAATCACTGTTTCTACAGATCAAAGGAGATAACACACAATCACCTAGACAGAAGCAGAAAAGGCACTGACAATATGCAACACCCACTCATGATTAAAACCTCTCAGTAACCAAAGAATAAAAGCAAATGTCCTCTACCTGATACAGACCATCTACAAAAAAAGGCGACATACTTAATAATGAAATACTTGATGCCTTCCCACTAAGATTGGAAACAAACAAGGATATGTGCTTGTAACACTTTCATCCAAGATTACAGTGTAGAGCTTTATTGTTGTCCAGTCGCTAAGTCATGTTCAACTTACCCAGTGCAATATGGTAAGAAAAATAATTTTAAAAAAATAAAGACTGAAAAGAAATAAAACTGTCTTAATTCACAGAAGGTGTAACCATCTATTTAGAAAATCCTAACAAATCTATTTTACAAAAATCAATTATTCTACCTATAAAAACGAACAATTAGAAAATGAAATCTTAAAAGGCATATCATGTGCCACAGCTCAAAAAACATAAAATAGTCATAGGCAAATATAACAAAACATGCTGCACTACTCTGTACACTGCAACTATAGAACAGTGTCTCTGAAATGTAGAAAATTAAACCTTATTCATGAACTACATAAGTCAACATGTTTAAGATGTCATTTTTCCTCAAATTGACCTGTTTATTCAATGTAGTCTCAATCAAAATTCCAGTAGGCTTTTTGTACAAAATGACAAATGAATTAAAAAACTTATGTGGAAAGGCTAACGTTTAGCTACCCAAACATCAGTCTGAAATGACCAATTCCTGATCTTTTTATGTGCAACCTACCTCTTCCTCTTTGGAAACTTGTAGAACCTCTTTCTCTTTGGTATTCTGATATTTGAAAATAAAAGTTTGCTGGACTTCCCTGGGGGTACAGTGGGTAAGAGTCTGCCTGCCAATGCAGGGGACACTGGTTCAATCCCTGGTCCAGGAAGTTTCCACATAACACAGAGCAAGTAAGCAAGGGTGCCACAACTACTGAGTCCGCGTGCCTAGAGCCTGTGTTCTATATGAAGAGAAGCCACCGCAATGAGAAGCTCGTACATTGCAACAAGGAGAAGCAAGCCCTGCTCGCCACAACTAGAGAAAGACTGCACACAGCAATGAAGATCCAGTGCAGCCATAAATAAATATTTTTAAAAAGGTCGTTGACTTTGTTTGAATACCTAAACAATTATTATTTAAAAAGTTTGTGCCTGGCACTTGATAGGCATTTTTGATTCTTGGGGGTGTTTTTTCATTTTTTTGAGGTAACACTAGTTTACAACCTTCTGTAAGTTTCACATGTACAACATTTTATTTCTACTTCTAGTACCCTATAGCAGGCTCACAACCAAAAACTTTAAGTTTCTGTCACCAGTTGATGCCGTTTATCCATTTCACCCTCCCTCTTTGCCCATTCCCCTCTGATAATTATTACTCTGTTCTCTGTATTTCTGTGTTTTTATTTTGTTTGTGCATTTATTTTGCTTTGTTTATGTATTTGACATATGAGTGAAATCACACAGTATCTGTCTTTCTCTAACTTATTTCACTTAGCATTGACACTTCGAGGTCCACCCAAGCTGTTACAAATGGCAAGATTCTACCTTTTTGATGGCCAAGTAATATCCCAAGGGTGAGTGAGTCAGTGAGTGTGTGTGTGTACACATCACATCTTCTTTATCCATTCATCCATTGATGCACATTTACATTGCTTTCATGTACTTTTTACTCTAAATAATACTATAAGGAACATAGTACATGTATCTTTTTAAATTAATATTTTTGTATTCTTTTGTTTCTTTTTAATATGAAAATATATCCTTTGGTCCTGGGGATATTCTTCAGTCATATTACTGAAGGTAATTTTCTTCTCTATCATTGTAGTCTCTTCCTAGAACACTAATTTATTTGGCCTGTGACCTTCTGGACTGATCCTCAAATCAAAGTTCTCTCTTCTGTCAAACATTCTCCCTTGCTTTTTCACATTACTTGTTAAGAGATTCATCTCAACTTCATCCTCCAGCTCTTTCCTTAAGTTATTTCTGCTATCATATTTAATTTTCAATAACAGTGTTTATTGTTCACTGAATTTTTTTATACCATCTTATTCTTATTTCATGGATGCACTAGCTTCCATTATTTCTGAGGTGAGAATAAAACATTTGTTCAAGTTCTCATTTCCTTGGCCAGCCTCTAATTTTCATGAGAATCAACACTGTATGTTGCTACATCAGTGTACCACCCATATTTCCACATCTGCTGTTTCCATTTTTCTCAGATATGCTGCACTAAAAGGACATGCAAAGGCAGTCTAAAGGATGACCTGTGCCTATGTTTAGGGAAGCACTAAGGTCCACTTGACCCCACCAAGCTCAGCAACTAGGACCAAAGAGAAATGTTCAACTTCATGTTTTTAAAATCTGCCTCTCTCTGCTTTTCAAAGCTATGTAAACAAAAGAGGCCCTTTCTGCAAAAAGACAGATATCATCTTGTGGGCCAAAATCAGATGCTGGCTTCGACTAGTCCCCACCTGCATCTCCAAGTTTATTTAAATCATCTCAATTTGCCATCTCACAGAATGCCTTCTACAGACTTTTCCCCACAGGGTTGAGCTACATGTAAACTATAGTTTCATGGTCCTCTCCAGAAACACCTGTGGTTTCTTTATGCATTAACATAACCACTGAAGCTGGTCTCCAAAGATGTAAAGATCTGTTGGTCCCTGACTGAGATGGGTAGCTTCATAATTTTGGATGTTCAGCACTCTCTGGTAAAGCTAAGCCAGATTCAAAGACTTTGCCTGACCTGTACTATCTGCATTCCATGACTCATGCCATGAGACAGGTATGAGTAAGGTCTGATAGTTAAGAGACTAAGGACAGGTTCTAAGAATTGTGGATATGAAATCAACAGGAAGAAAAAAAAAATATTCCTGGTCTGACTATTTACGATAAATGACTCATCTCATATTTCTTTAATCTGTATTTTTTTCTCTTTTTTCTATAAATGTTGGAAAGCATAACCTGTCATCTTTTCCACTGACCCTCTCTTGTGATTTCACTCAGTGTCACTAATTCACGAAAACATTCTATATATTGATAACTTCCAAATTTATAACTCCATATCCAAACCAACTTGAATAAATTCGCCTGTTTATTCACTATCTCCATTTAGATCTGTAACAGGAATCTCAAACCTAACATGTTTAAAACCAAGTTCCTGATCTTCTCAAAAAAACCTATTCCTATTACAGTCTTCCCCACCTCAGTTAACAGCCATTCTCTACTTCTAGTTGTTCAGTTCAAAACCTTCCTGTCATCCTCAACTTTTCTACTTGTATTGTTATAAAACATATATATATGTTTTATATATATATATATATATATATATATAGTTTTGAAACTACATTAATTAACACTTAATTTTTTCATTCATATAACATATGTTAACTGCCCACTAGATTTTAAATAAAACACTGGACAATGCATTGTCTTCTGAGTTTTTGGTTGTTAAATATTTTTTTTAAATAATGCAGATATGTAAAACATATTTCTACTTTATCAAAATTTGGTAATAATGAACCCAAGAGCTTTTTTAATGGGTAAACAGAAAAGAAACTTAAATTATACAAACAGACATTAAAGAGAAGGCCAAAAACAGATATTTGCATTAATCCCTAAGGTAACAAATAAAGAAAGACCTACAAAACAGAGAAGCAGCAACCTTACTCATTCTCATAGGTCATTCACTACACTATAACTGCTATATCTGCTTAGTAAAACCACCAGGCCCAGAAAGTTACTTTAAAAATCATAGTTTTTTTTTATTTAGAGGGGATTCAAAGGACTTGCCTGTGACCACCGAACCTACTCCCCATCAGCTGACGCCTTAGACAAAGTACTCAGAAGGCCTAGTCTCCTTAAGTGTGTAACAGGGATGGCACTATCAGCCTAGAGTTGTAAACAAATGAGTGAGTGCTACCTTCTGAACCAGGATTTCTCTTGTCATTTTAACTCACACTCTTTCTCAGTAAATGTCAAAACTTCTCTATTTTGTACTAGAAAACTAAATCAAATTTCTCCCCAGATGTAAAACTGATTGTGTTTTTCCAATTTGACACCATCCTATCTAAATCTACTGCCTCTCACTACTCCTAATCCTTGCTAAAGAATCTGCCGGCAGCGCGGGAGATCCAGGTTCGATTCCTGGGTTGGGAAGATCCCCTGGTTTGGAAATGGCAACCCATTCCAGTATTCTTGCCTGGAGAATCCCATGGACAGAGGAGCTTGGCAGGCTACAGTCCCTGGGGTTCCAAGAGTCAGACACGACTTGGCGACTACACCACCACCACCACCACTGACTGTCAATCTCCTCAGATAAGAAAACTAAAGGCCAACCAGAGAGGTTCTATGACTTTAGCAAGGTAATATACTTAGTTAACCATAATGTTGAGACTCTGACTCCCAGGGCAGTGTTCTTTACACTTCATGATATATTAAAAATATAATGTCACACTTTATCTCACCTGAGTTGTGTGGATTCTGTTAAATCAACTTACTCAAAGGCATGGGGGAAAAAACTAAACGCAAAGTTATTTTGGAGCATTTACCTTTCTACATGCAGGACAAAGCCCATTTTCATCAGTGCGAATTCGATGCCAACAAAAGCGGCAAATCTGGTAGCCACAGGTGCAAGGGAAAAAGTTGATATCATCTATCTCCAAGGGCTCCATGCAAAGAGGACATTCCACAGGGTCTTCCTTCGCGTCAGGACTGCGAGACATCTTCACTTTTATTAAACAGCAGCAAAAGTTTATAATAATTTAAGGGAGAAGGAAGTTCACCACTGAGAACTAAACTGTAGAACTTCAAAGACCTGCATGACAAAAAAACAAAATATACTGCTTACTACTGAAAAACAATGGCATTTTCAACAATCAAGAATCATATTATCAACAAATTTGAAAAATATTAATCAGATCCATTTTTGCCATCATCTCAGAAGATGGAATTCTAAGCATTTTGCATGTCAAGATAAAAGACCTGAGAGGTTGTTACATTTTTAGATTCAACATTAAGAGAAAAGAACTTCCTTTTTTTAGCTATAACGTTTAATACAAAACCAGTACTAATCATAGTACATTTTAGAGTAATAAATACTATACAGAAGCACATTCATCTTAAAACATATTCTATATTTTAAACTGTCTCATCTTTGACCTAAAAGCTAGTAGTAATATTGCCATGTAACTAACAGTATTATAGCAGTCTAAAAGGTGTCCTAATTTACAAATAAGTTTAATAAAGAAGAGAGGCTTCAGATGTCCATTACATGTTAATATCAAACCATAACCACAGAAAATATAAGAGCTGAAAAAATGTGCCACAGAAGCTAGCCGTTTACAATTAAATAGGTATTAACATGCCAAGAAAAATTTCACTTCTGGGAAAATAAGCACGTATTAAACAAATGAAAATATTCCTTTTTATTGCAGAAATGCTTCTAAAAGCCTAGAGAAAGGGGGAAGAGAACAAACAGACCTCCATGTTTCAAAGTTTTCTTAAAAATTAATAATTTATCTTTTTAGATTATGGAGACTGAGAATTTTAGGCAAAAGTCACTGTTAAAAAGTTATGTCAAAATAACAGAGATTTTTGTTTATTTACATAATTTGACAAGTTAATTCTAAAGTTTACATGGAAGAGTAAATGCATGAGAAATGCTTTGAAATTCTTCAAGGGGCAACTTGGGAATTTGTGCTATTGGATATTGAACTGTATCACAAAGCTATAGTAACAAATAATTTAATACTGATACAAAAACAGACAATAGATCAAAAAAACTAAATAAGGAATTTAGAAACAGACCATGAATAAGATTTCAATATTTGATAAAAGAGACATAACGTCAGTATGTCAAGGATGGACCCAATTTATAAAGAGTAACAGGATCCTGTTCTATCTATTTTGAGAAAGAAACAGTATATAGCCATCTCACACTGCAATCAAAATAAATTCTAGATGATCTGTCTAAAGAGTTATACAGTGAAATAAACTATTAAAGTGTTAGAAGAAAATAGAATTTTTTAAAAACTTGGGATACAGAAAGTCTTCCTAAGAAAAAAACATAAATTCATAAAAGATAAATATGATTAACTTAGCAAAGTAAAAAGAGAAAGGCAAAATTAAAGGCAAGCAACAGAGTAAAGGATACATCCACTGTATGTAAGAGTTACTGTCCTGAATATACAAAGAAATCTTACAAGCAATGTTTAAAAGGCAAATAAGTCAGAAGAAAAGATGATAACAGAATATGATTAGTAGTTCACAAAAGAAGTACAAATACAACATACAAAAAGATGATCAACCTCTTTAGTTTTAAACAGTGAGATAGCATTTTCCCTGCACCAGCATGTCAAAGTTAGCCTCCCCACAAAGCAGAGATCATCACTGAGGTAAGTTCCTCTTCACAAAGAGTAAATGCGGGCACAAAGAGTACCTTGCCTTAAGTGTTAGTCGCTCAGTTGTGTCCGACTCTTTGCCACCTCATGGACTGTAGCCTGTCAAGCTCCTCTGTCTATGGGATTCTCCAAGCAAGAATACTGGAGTGGGCTGCCATTCAGGGAATTCTTACCTGGAGAATCCCATGGACAAAGGAGCCTGATGGGCTACAGTCCATGAGGTGGCAAAGATTCGGATACAACTGAGACAAAGTCAAAGAAGAACAAAAGAGCCTCTTGATGAAAATGAAAGAGGAGAGTGAAAAAGTTGGCTTGAAACTCAACATTCAGAAAACTAAGATCATAGCATCTGGTCCCATCACTTAATGGCAAATAGATGGGGAAACAGTGGAAACAGTGTCAGACTTTATTTTTGGGGGCTCCAAAATCACTGCAGATAGTGACTGCAGTCATGAAATTAAATGACGCTTACTCCTTGGAAAAAAAGTTATGACCAAACTAGATAGCATATTAAAAAGTAGAGACATTACTCTGCCAACAAAGGTCCATCTAGTCAAGACTATGGTTTTTCCAGTAGTCATCTATGGATGTGAGAGCTAGACTATAAAGAATGCTGAACATCGAAAAATTGATGCGTTTGAACTGTGGTGTTGGGGAAGACTCTTGAGAGTCTCTTGGACTGAAAGGAGATCCAACCAGTCCATCTTAAAGGAAATCAGTCCTGAATATTCACTGGAAGGACTGATGCTGAACCTGAAACTCCAAAACTTTGGCCACCTGATGTGAAGAACTGACTCACTGGAAAAGACCCTGATGCTGGGGAAGGTTGAAGGCAGGAGAAGGGGATGACAGAGGATGAGATGGTTAGATGATCACCAACTTGACGGACATGAGTTTGAATAAACTCCGGGAGTTGGTGATGGACAGGGAGGCCTGGCATGCTGCAGTCCGCTGGATTACCAAGAGTCAGACACGACTGAGCGACTGGACTGAACTGAACTCTCCAGGGGATCTTCCTGAACCAGGGATAGAACCCAGGTCTCCTGCATTGCAGGCAGATTTTTTACCATCTGAGCCCCCAGAGAAGCCCCACCTTGCCTTAAACTCTACAGCTATTGAGTGGTGGTTCCTGAACTCATTCCAGGAAGTCTTAGCCCCAGAATCTGTGCATTTAACCATTCCTTTAAACCACCTACGAATTTTTTCTACATAAATACTCACATATGCCTCAAGTACTTTGTTGTAGGTTTTGCAGCACTGCCCGTAAGAGTAGAACTATAAACAATGTTAACTGTCCATCAGTTGGCAAATCATTATGCAAATAATGATACAGCCATTAAGTTGATGTGTGCTGAATCAAAAAGATGTTTATTATACGGATTTTTTAAAATTTGTAAAAGTAACTAACATAAATATAAATAAATATATTTATTTATATAAATATAAATAACTAACAAATATAAATAACTTCAATATAAATATATAAAAATCTGTATGTGTATACTTTGTTTCTCAAAGAAAATAAAGCATATTAAAGGTTTTCCACCAAAACGTTAACCCATATCGTACCTCCAAAATGGAGGTACTAATTTCATTTTGAAAATCTGTATTATCTGTATTGCTATGACAAACCTTTCTGCAATTTAAATGGCAAAAAAATTAAATTAAAAGTTATTTTTATCTCCTTTAGGAAAATTAAATTTGACTTGTGCTAATAATTAGGAAAATGAAATATCTTATGAATCTATTAATTATTTCAAAATATAAGTTTTTTAACGGCATATAAACAATTCAGGAATCCCGGTTTACAGACCCAGTTTTGTCACTATCAGTTTTCTCATATATAAAATTAGGGGTTTAATCTTATGGTTACCAGGGGGATAAGAGGGGAGGGATAAATTGGGAGACTGGGACTGACATACACACTTATATAAAATAAATAATAATGACCTACTGTATAGCACAGGCTTCCCAGATGCTGCTAGTGGTAAAGAACCCACCTGCCAACACAGGAGACATAAGGGATGTGGGTTCGACCCCTGGGTCAGGAAGATCCCCTGGAGGGTAGGGCAACCTACTTCAATATTCTTGCCTGAAGAATCCCATGGACAGAGGAGCCTGGCAGGCTACAATCCACAGGGTCGCAAAGAATCATATACAACTGAAGTGACTCAGCACACACATGCACTGCATAGCACAGGGAAATCTACTCAATACTCTATAGTGACCTATATGGAAAAAGAAGCTATAAAAGGGTAAATACATGTGTATGAATAACTGAATAACTGATTAACTTCACAGCAGAAAGTAACACAACACTGTAAATCAACTATACTCAAATAAAAATTTTTAAATAAATAAAATGAGGGGTGTTAAAGATAATGCAAAATAAGACTATAAGCTTCAAAGTCCATGTCCTTTCCAAAATGGTAAGGATCACCAAAGCTATGATTAACTGAAGGCACAGCCACATTCTCTTCAATATATAGTGTAAATGTCCTGAAAGTAAAAATGACATTACGGTTTCAAAAAGTTAAGTTATACAGGAAATCTCTACTTTATTATCTGAGTTCTTGTCCCCTATATTACCTGCAACTGCTATCACAACACAGTATATATTTAACATACATAAAAATGCTCCTGTATCACCGAAGACTCCCATGTAGTAAGTGTACAAAATATTTATTTTGTACAATATAGCCAAAATCATGCTCAAAAGTTCCTTATCACTCATAAGATGCCACATACATGGTTTTACACTTAGGACCATTTTCAAAAGATCTATGTAAAACACACTACAAAATGTCAAGAACTGAAGCGCTATGGAAAATAGTTTAGTGGTTCCTCAAAAAGTAAAACATGGAATTAGCATCTGATCCAGCAATTCTACTTTTGGGCTATACCAAGAGAATTAAAGGAGGGACCTGAACAGATACTTGCACACAAATATTCATAGAAGCATTATTCACAGACAACCCAACTATCCATTAACAGATAAAAGGATAAACAAAATGTAGTCTGTACATACAATATAATGTCATTCAGTCATAAAAGGAGTGAAATTCTGACATGCTACAATGCGGATAGGGCTTCCCAGGTGGCTCAGTAGCTAAAGAATGCTCCTGCAAAGCAGAAGACGTAGGTTCAATTCCTTGACCGGAAGATTCCCTGGAGGAAGGCATGGCAACCCGCTCCAGCAGTCTTGCTGGGACAATCTCATGGACAGAGCAGCGTGGTGGGCTCCAGTCCATTGACAAGAGTCAGACACGACTAAAGTGACTGAGCATGCACAATGTGGATGAACTTTAAAAACATTATGCTAA